CCCCAAAACCCCAAAACCCCAAAACCCCAAAACCCCAATTAAGTCCTATTAATTATAAATTGTTAAAAATGAATGGAACTAGTAAAACTTGCTTTTTTGGATCTGTTTAGACAAAGATATAGATGTTTAAACCTATTTATAACCCATTTGGGACTTTTAACATTATCTTAGACTTTCAGAGCCCAGAAAGCAAGACTACTGCTAGTAATTTCAGGTAAGATATTGGTGGGCTGCTGTTTGAATGTTAGCAAAAGTATCCGCAGTGGATTATAATTATTAGTCCTAACCTTAGTTATCTCTAAATTTAAAAGAAAATTTTCTAATTTCATTATATTTATGATTTCCTTAAAATAATTCTTAAGTCTGGTATCAAAGAAAAATTGTTTTTCCTAAAAGTGCTAAATTTTCTAGAATTTATTACGCGGTGAAAGAGGCTTGACCTCGATCAGCTCAAGACAATAGGAAGAGGCAGTAGTAAGTGCTTTTTCTAACCCATAGCCCTGTTTCAGCAAACTGAAGCGATAATGGGAATGCCAAGGGTAAATATCTACATAATCTTTAATGTAGGTCTCAAAGGAGTTGTCAATGAGTTTGCAGAGCTGTCTGATGCTAGTCCAAAATTATGTTATAGTATTTGAGTACCTTATATTTCTAGATCAAACAATGATGACTCCTAGTATAACTGCAAAATATTCCTCAGTGAATAAGGTGAGATCCTCTGCTTCAAAATCGAGGTCAGGCTCTCGAGTTTCAAGAAGCTTGAAGCAGTTCCAGAAGTTGATCTATGACCATTACAAGCAAGAGTTCGTTTAAGTTTTGACAATATTATAGAAATATTATCAAGAATCATAAATAAAGAATACCCAAGATCTCCTACCTTTAAGTAAGATTTTTGTCTGATTTGATTAGGGTGTTATCAAAGAATTCATCCAGACTCAGAAATATGGCCATTCTGCGCAGATCGTACTTTTTAGACCTCTAACAAATTCAGACATTTAACTGGACAAAAGAAGCAAATGAGCAGATTTACTACAAGTAAGTTAAATATTTTAACCAGAATTCATAATTTCTCAAATTGTTCATCTAATGTCTATCCTAAGCAAGTTCAAAACTGATGCTTACAACTAAAATGAATTTTTGGACCTAATCTAGCCTATTAGGCCCCTTAAAAATTGCCAAATTCTGCTTAAAAACCTCATTTTCACCAAATAAGACTCTAACCGTTCTAGTCATGAACAAGCAAATGGTGACTCCTAAGAAGTAAGACTCAGGCTTTTGACTACGACCAGAGTGAGACCAGCCAGAGTTCTTCCAAGAGGCCTAGCTATTACTACAAGAGGATTCCTCCAAGTAGGAAGTCATGTAAGCTTCTTTTACTATAGTTATGGCCTTTTGGGACCTGATTGAAGACCTGTCTGCTTAGAAGGTGCCTAAGTTTGCTATTAAGATGGACTTAGGGGAATCTTAACCCAGCCTGAGGACTTTGGCACTCACACTACTGGACGTAGCTGTAATTTACTTGTGAAGGATTGAACAAACCAATTTGAGTGATTTGGATATTTTCGACTCTTTTAAATCCTCTATTTAACATATGGTCTAGATACATTAGAAAAGATCAGAAAAACAAGAAATCAAGCCCAGACGAGGTTTAAGAATACATTGTAAGACTTGAAAAAAATTTGGCATGATCCTTAGCTCTAGAGTTGAAATTTAGAAACTAATGAGTGTTTTCACTAAATCTGAGCAGTTTTTAATGAAGTCTAAGAATTTAAGTTAGTAAAGGAAGGACTATATCCTACTACTATCTTGTATCATTTCTGTATTTTATATTCTTAAACAAGACCTAGAGCCTTTTCTTGAATATTTTTAAATCTCACATAAATAGGAAACAAAATCACATGAGATCACCCCATCTAGCTCTATCTTTTCTTCCTAGAACTCTCAACAGGCCAGACCACCAGGATGGCGATAGGGAAGATACAGTTGAGATAGAAGAAGCTGGAGAAGAGGTTGTGGAAGGTATCTTCACAAATTTGAGATCGTATTTCAGTCCAAATGGGAAATTGCAGCAGAAGATGACACAAGAGTCAATCGAAATCCTTCAAACAGAAGATGACGAAGAAGCCTCAATTGAGGCTAGCACTGGTGAAGGAGTTGTTGATGCAGGAGTATCTCAGCTGCCTATTTTTACTACTAAAAATCAATATAAGAACTTAAGGATCTCAGATGTGCAAGATACCCCAACCAGACCTAGTAAGGTCGACACTGAAGAAGAAGAAATTAAGGTAGATAATGAAATTTGAGAACCCCCCATCGGTCCACAAAGCTTTAAGGCCATTAAAGTCATCGGAATCGGCAGTTTCGGCGAAGTCTTCTTAGTTGAAAAGGTCGATACTGGAGAACTCTTTGCTATGAAAGTCCTTAAGAAAGAGAAGGTCTTACGAGGGAAAATGGCTAAATATGCTGTTTCTGAGAGAAATGTTCTCTGTGTGTCCTCCCACCCGTTCATTGTCAAGCTCCACTATGCATTTCAGACGCCAGATAGACTCTTCCTGATCCTGGAGTATTGCCCAGGAGGTGACCTAGGAAATTATTTAGAAGCAGAAGACGTGTTCAATGAGGATAAGGCTAGATTTTACATCGCAGAGATCATCACTGCTCTTGAAGATCTGCATAAAAGAGGAATTATTTACAGAGACTTGAAGCCTGACAATATTGTTCTGGATAAAGATGGTCATGCTAAACTGACCGATTTCGGGCTCTCTAAAGAAGGAATGGAGAAGGTAGACCATACAACCAAGAGTTTTTGAGGCTCATATGCCTATCTTGCACCAGAAATGGTCAAGAAAGAAGGCCATACAATGTCTCTTGACTGGTATCTTTTGGGTGTACTTCTCTTTGAAATGTTAGATGGGTTTCCTCCATTTTACTCAGACGATAAGGACGAGCTCATGATTAACATCATCACTGAAAACCTTAAACTTCCTTCACATCTCTCCAAAAATGTGAGAGATTTACTATCAAAACTACTTGAGAGAGACCCAAGAAAAAGGCTTGGGACAGTGGAAGATGCTGAGGAGCTTAAAGCCCATCCTTGGTTTAGCTGCATCAACTGGGTTGATGTCACGAACAAAAAGTTGGAACCTTATGAGCCATACCTTGCCAAGACCAAGGAAGAGATCATGCTTAACATTGGCAGAAGTAAGTCCTAGTTTTGTCTAAATTTTAGGAGAAAAAATGACGATTGAGAAGTCAAAAGAGTACCTAAAAGAATTAGACAAGAAGACACTTAAGAAGAATAGGTTAAACGGGTGGAGTTTCCACCAGACAGTGATTGAAGACCATACCGCGGCTGGGTCTCAGCCATAAATTTATCCTAATTTCAATACCAATGCCAACTGGAGGGGTTTTGGGGTTTTGGGGTTTTGGGGTTTTGGGG